CGTTCATCCATCTTCTAGTATCAAATTTAAAGAATGAGGGGAGTTGCCTAATCAAATAAAAAATAACAAATAAAATGATAAGAGTCACTCCCCCAGGTAAATAGAAAGATCACAAGTTCTTAAAAAAACAGATCATCTATATAGCCCATAGGATTTCCAAGGTCTCCTTTCGCACTGCTTCTATCTCCCACTGTAGAGTATCATTTAGCAAAACATTCGAAACCCCTCCCCCTTATTCCTCGAGTCTAGTCCAAAGAATGACATGAATTTGGCAAAGAAACCCTCTCCAAGACAGGTACTGTCAACATTCAACATAACTGTGTTTTCTAACATTTCGTCCATGTTGAAGAGGCATATCCCTAACCATGTTTTCCACTTCATAAAGTTTAAGACCAATTACAAGTGAACATTAGAATGGCAAGAGGAGAACTAGAATATTTCAGTTTGTTCTAGATGGTAAATATCTTCTCACCATTGTATTGCATTATAAATAAATTAGAGAAAAACAGCCATGTGTAGTAGAATGAGTAGGGAAGTAAATTAGCAATGTACCTTTTTGCGACGTTTCAGTCACATCTAACAGTCTAATCCCTAGATAACGCAGCTCAACTCAGTTGAGAATATAAAAAACCTCATCAGGTTCTAGTTGTTATGTGATATAAATATTCAACTGCTAAGTTGCCTAAGGGATTGCAGACTTCGCACCCAAGGGTGTGAGCATGATTCGGATCCAACAGGGGGAAAAAAGCTAATTGATTCCTTTGCATCTACTAAGCCTTGGTGGCTACAATTACCCAATATCTTTAATGGTGAGAGGATGCAAGTGCTCGGTAGAACAGTCGAGGTGTATGCAAGTTGTCTTGGAATTTCCATTATATATATGAAAAAATGGAACTGCAAACTTCACCTTTTCCTTCATTAATTAGTAATGCAAGATAGCTAATCAAGATCCCCAATCAATAATGACATGGGAGAGAATGACTAATAACAAGGGCCCTCTAACCATGATATGTTGGGAGTTCGAGTCACCAAGAGAGCAAAGTGGAGAAGGTTATTGCCAGGATCTTAGGTAGGGAGTTTGATTTAGTGCTAGGTTACCATATAATTAAATAAATAAAAGTGGAAAAAAGGTTCTCAATCAATAATGTGCAGACAGATAAAAACAGGATACACTACAGCTGGTCAAGCACTCAACCTAAAAAGGAATTATGCTCTTCTTCTTTTTTCTGAAATGGATCTTCTTTTCTCCTTTTTTGGTAAGTTAAAAATTATTTAATGAATAAAATGAAGGTGCAAAAAACAAAATCCAAGCTAATATGATATGACTTTTTTTTTTTTGTGATAAAGAAAGTAGATTCATTGAATGGCATCAAGAAGATGCAGCGATAACAAAAGTAGAGAGCTAGCTCCATACAAGATGTTCTGATAGGGGCTGGGAGCGAGCCAAAAAAGAGTAGATTAGAGAGACTAGACTATACTAGAGTGAGAGCGCTCACAAAATCTGAGAAGACAGTAGACCTATTTAAATAGGACTGGTTGGTCCAACGATAGAGACTGAGCTGATATGTTATGACCTATGAGGGCATTTATCTCCCTTCCCGTTTTGGCTATTCAGAGATAACAGCAACTCCACTCTTACAAGATTGTACCTTATGTCACCATACTCCATAAGTACAAGCACACTCACATGTTACAGCCGTGACAATCACTGCTAAAGTTACAGAGACAACTTTAGCAAGTTCATACTATCTTGATCACTTCTATAACCCTTGGTATGTTTGGCACATTATTGACTCATGACCTTTTGCCTCCAGACAAATAATGCATTTGAAGATGGTCCAATAGAAAATTTTATTATACAAGTACATTAAATATTGAACTTTTCTCATGCACATGCTTAGACACGAGCTTAAGAAGATCTAATCCAATTAAGCAGCATTGTTTCCCTCAAACCTCCTGTCATCAAATACTGATGACCACTAAAAAGGGTTTTTAGCAATCATAACTGATAACTGAGGATTTGAAGAACTATGAACTATAAATTACAGATCAATCAAGCCACCATGCATTCTCACAAGCATAAACCTACAAAGAGAACTCCCAAACACTCACCTAGCACTGGCTGCATCGTCTCACACTTGCATCCTTCCTTTTCTGGCTAAGTGGCAAATACTAAAAGTTTTGTTCTTTTTATATAAGTGGTAAACAATATAAGATAACAAAGAACCATATCCACAGATCCTTTCCTAGAGAAAAGGCCGGTATTGAAATGTAATATGTGCTTTGCTAAACAGACTAATCCCTGGTTATATCTGCAATTTTAGCATTTTCTTCAAAGGGTTACAGTATCTTTTATGAAGTAGTTTGGTACAAATTGTATTGACACTAAAAATCAGTGCTAGTTAGTACCTCATTTAAGATGAGGGTACATTTGCAAATTCACAAAGATAAGAAGGAAAGAAACTAAATGCTCAAGTAAGAGAGGACCCCATTTGCTTCTCTTCTGCACCTAGCTGACAGCATGTTTATTGTACATAATAGCCCCCTATGAGACAATCTTTCCGCACCTGCACTATTCATATCCTCTACTCCTTCAAGAAGTATCCTTATAAGAAGAAAAAGCCATCTTGCACCTAAGGGTATGGCCTAGTAGTCAATAAAGTGGCTGAGAACCATGAGGTCCGAGCGGAGGCAAAAAACACTAGGTGATTTCTTCCCATCTATCCAAGCCTTGGTGGATAGAGTTACCTGGAACCTGTTGGTAGTGGGAAGTGGCGGGTATCCCGTGGAATTAGTCGAGGTGTGCCAAGTTAGCCCAGACACCACGGTTATAAAAAAAAAAAGAGTTACCTGGAACCTGTTGGTGGTGGGAAGTGGCAGGTATCACGTGGAATTAGTCAAGGTGCGCACAAGTTGGCCCAGACACCACGGTTATTAAAAAAGAAAAGGGGGAAGGCCATCTTTAAGGTTAAAATCACTACCCTAATTTCTTGCAAGTTTAAAGCACCTAAGGCAAAGCTAGGCTTGAAACTTGTGAATGATTATCTAGACAGTACTAACCAGTAAGGAAGATTTCTTACATGATTCAAACAAACGCATTGATAAGTATTGAAAAACAAAAGTGATAAACTCAATTCCTAGCCCCTCTCCCATCTCATCACTAGATCCTGTGTGAGTGACTCGTGGAAAGTGTAAGTGATGCTTGCTTCTTTTTTTCTTTTCTTTTTTTGATAACCACGGTGTTCGGGTCAGTTGGCGTGCGCCTTGACTAATTCCACGGGATACCAACTACCGCCCACCAGCAACAGGTACCAGGTAACTCTATCCACTAGGCTTGAATAGATGGGATTCACCTAGTATTTTTTGTCTCTCTTGAGAATTGAACATGAGATCTCATGGTTTTAACCCACTTCATTGATTACTAGGCCACACCCTTGGGCCTTGGGTGCTTAAGTAATGTTTGCTTCTTCGTTAATCAAAATATGGCGAAAGCTCTCCCTTTTCTAAATTCAAAAAAGTAAAAGGTACTATCTGACCAGGAAATTCAGGTACATTCCCATCCTATCGGAGGCAAATCCAGTAGATCCAGCATATTAAGCAGGTGAAGTTTGCAACCAATGCTTATAAGCCGACTATATGTGTGTATAAAAAGTTTAACCAAAGTTTAATAGGTAATAATTCAGACACTGCCTTTAAATCCACCTCTATATCCAGCTCTCTTTAGACAAAGTATTAAGGAGTTAAGCCATCAAGTTGAGTGATTTCATATCTTAAAAAGCTAATGCAAGAAATACTAACTAGATCCCAAAATCCCTCAATCACAGGCACGCACTTTTGATCAGAGAAAAAATTCCCAAGCAGAACAAGTCTACTGATTGCTACTTCACCCAACACACTGTTAAATCTTTCAACTTTTGCTCCCAAAGCAATCTAACTATTCAATCAACAGACTAAGCCTTGGGTTCTTTTAATATGAATTTTGTTCATCCCTTATGCTCTATTTAGTTCCGTTACACTCCAAAACCAACTCAACTCAAGGAATCAAATAATCATGGCGCAAAACCACATTAGTTGGCGACTTGGGGTCGACTAGATGAATCCTCCTGACCGACTCTATTTAATTCCATTTCATTCCAAAAGGATCTATAACAACATCCCTATATAACAGTCATTCACTATATAAACCAAGTTTTCTTGAATAATATATGTCCTCTTTAACAGCATTTCACTATAACATCCAGAAAACATCGGAACAAACACGGTTGCGGCTGTTATAGGGAGGTTTGACTGTATTCACAGGAATCCAAGAAATAGCAAAAGACAGAAAACAATAATAAATAGTAATGAGTTTAAATACTATGTAAACATTTTTTATACTATCAGGTTACTTATAAGGTACACTTTTGATAAGCATTAATTGATAATCAAATAAACATGCAATTGATAATCAGTATATATAACTTAAATCCAATACTGACAAATTTATTGAGGACAAATTAGTAAAAGAATACTACTAACATTGAGAATACGAGAAATCCCAAAAGTTTTGAGAAGCTCAGCACGAGAAGCATTATCATAGCTACCCAAAAATAGAAACTCAGGCAAGATCTCAGAAGGGAACGCACTGAGTTGAATCCCCTTTTCAGAAACAGCAGGCATTCGGTGTCCACAGATCCCACAAACTTCGCCTTCCTCATATTTGTGATAATGCCCACAAACACCACATGGATTTTCCCTTTCCCTTTTCCTCATAATATTGATTGATTTGTTGTGTGAACTAATTAGAACGAATGACCTATAGATAAGTAAAATAATTGATTTGAAGTGAAGTCGGTTTTTGTGGATTTTTTATGGCGAAAGTATAAAGATCTTTGCCCAGTGTGCTTTTGGGTGATTTTGACTTGTATAGGTTTCTATTTATATTACTTTACTACTATTATAGAAGCTAGCTTTGGGGTAGTAAGGGTATTTTCGGAATAGCATTTCGCTTTATGGACACGTGCTATCTCTGAATTTTTCCATCTCTGCCACGTTTTAGCAGAGGTACAGCTGCCGCTATGCAAAAGCCCAAAGCCACAGAATTCCGAAGAAGATCCACACTTCCACTGTTTCTCTTCATTTTGATTACTTTATCAACTCATCTCCTATTTCCCTCAAATCTCTCTTTCGATCTTTTCTCTTACGGCTCAATTTGTGCGTTTCGTGGACATAGTTATCAGGTTAGTTATGTTTTACCTGGAATTTGAATTTCGATTCTTTTTACTCAACTTTTGTGTATTTCTCTGATAATAAGGGTCTTATATGTGTTTGACAAAAAATCTTCAATGAATCACACTTTCTATGAAGAATAGTTTGATGATTTTTATTTTGGGTAATTTTGATTTTATTTTGGGTAAACGATGTGCCGAGCAGTAATAGATTTTTGAGGTTCTTGTGTCTAGTATTTGGTTAAATGGGAATTCTATTTTGATCTTTTTATAGTTTGTTCTGCTTTTTCAAGTTTGCTCTTGTGTCGATTTCTTTGATAGGTTTTAGCATAGTTCCCTATGGAAAATTGGATATGTTGTGACGAATTTGTTATGCATATGTTGTTTGACTTCTTCAGTAGTATATATTCTGCTTTTATATGTATTGTTATTGCCATGCTTTTGATTTTTTTTAATGTGAACATGTGTGACTGTAGGTGATATACCATAAGCTTTTCCCTTTAACAATAAACTTGGAAGATTTGGTATTGATAACTTCTACAAGTAGACTGCTAAGCATATATACATATACAATACATATATAAATATGTGTCTGTGTATGTATGTATGTATGTATATTTAATAGGATACTTGGTTAGGGGAATGAAATACTTTACTTATTTTCTGCTCCGAATGATTCCGGCTACTTTAATGGAAATTACAGAAGGTTTTCATGCTTTATATCGTTGAACTGGAAGTTGTGACTCTATTTTAGCTTAAAGTATCGTTGGAATTCATTTATTCCTCCCAGACCATGAGGGATAATCTTTATGATGTGATGAATGTGGTCTTAAAATCAATGCTAAATTCTTCTCCCCCTGTTTGTCTTACTGCTATTAGAACAATAAAAGGGATGAGTTTAGAATTGTATCCACATGAACAAGATAAACAGTGTCACATGCTTATTGCGTTGCTATTTTAGGCACCTGCAGATAAACACTTTCTACTGCAGTATTGACCTTTGATTTTAGCTTCCTTTATTCCACCTTGATGATTAAAAGATTTTAAACAAACATAATTTTTATGAAAAGTATCATTAGGATTTTTGAATCAACACGTAAGCTAAAGAATTTGAAGTTGTACTTGGCCTGTTGGTCATGAAATCATGATAAAAGGCACGTGTACATCATAGAAAGCTAATTACACCGGATGATTATAGCTGGCCCTTCTGGCCAATACGCTGAATATAGCAAAAAAACATGGGAATTCTCCATAATACCGTTACGATCGGGAAGCATGACAAGCTAGCACGACGACGCAAAGCTCCTTACTTTTTTGTTCTTGAGATTGTCTCATCAGTTTTTTGTTCTTCTATGTACTACTACACATTAATTGGTTGTTATATCTTGCTATCCAATCATTCGTCCACGTAAGCACGGCAAAGCCTAGCCGAAGTGGTGAACACCTTCAATTCTATAACTCTATAATTTTGTGATGTAGATCTGAACACTAACAATGTATATCTGATTATCGACTATCCTAAAAAATGTTTAGTCTTGCATTGGAAATCTAATTTCATATTTTTCGTGCCTTAGATGTCACGGTGAGTGAGATGCCTACAAATTGATATCATATTGTACAATCCGTTATATTTAGTAGTAAATTAGTTAATTAGGTGTCACGGTGAGTGAGATGCCTACTGATTGACATCATATTGTACAATCAGTTATATTTAGTGTGCAATCTGATAAGTTGATAAACGTTGTTGAATGGGATAACATAGGCAACATATACAGTGAGCGAAAATTCAATGTATGGTGATAGGTTATAAATATTTGTCCTTCATATTAACAGGGTTTAATTTAATCTCTATGTTTGTTCGTCTTATCATTAACATAATCGAGTTGCCTAACGAGAAAGCCTAAGACTTAAAATTGATATATGGCAAGTTACTACACCTTTTGATCTTTATTTTTCTGATGTAGGTTTGTACTGTGATTAGAATAGTGACATTTGTAAAACTCAAGTTCTCTTAACAATGGATCCTCATCAAACAAAAAAACGTCCTTGCATAACGGCAAAAGCTTATGACAAGAATGCCAACGACGTGAAGTATACAGCAATATGACCATGGCTGAAAAGAATGCGCTTCTGCTGCAACGACGTCTAAAAAAAAGAGAGACAACAACTAATCGTCTTCTCGCAAGTAAAACTTATGTCAATCTTGTTGAACCAGCATCTGTCAAGTAATTTTGCTGCTGGAGCCTCTTGTTCTCTGCCAAAAACAGGTTAGAACATTAAATTCACTATATGTCTTTTCCCACATATATATATGTATATACACACACATATGAGTGCGCATGTGAAACAGTTATGCCCATTTGGTTCTCATGTTTGTTAAAAAAAAATTCTTGCAGCAACCAATGAATGTGAAGTTTGTACGCCACCCGCTGTGCTTCACAAGGTGAAAAATGTGTTGTGCCCTTTTCATGTCTTTGAAAAAGGAAATCATGTAACCTTGATCACTGACAATTCTACATCTGTTGTGCTCACGTGTTTAATCCATAATCGTATTGCATCAGGTTCTACATCAGGCACTTCAAATGAGTCAAGTGCTATATCCTTTGAGCCGATTTTGGTTGACGGTTAGTATGAACATAACATATCATTTCTACTTTTTTGGTGTTTCATAATATTTTCCACTCCTTAAGTCTATTTGGAGTATGCAGGTCATGTAAAGAATATGAAAAAATTGACTAATGTTGGTTATGAAAAAAAGAGAAATATGCTAATAATATCCGATTATGCTCTGACTATGTTCCACTTAAAAAAGTGCCAAATTGTGAATTCTGCTCGGCAAAAAAATTTCAGTATGAACCGCCTTCGTTTTGTTGTGCTAACGGTACAGTTAAGTTGACTTATCATAAAATGCCACCTGCACTGAGAAATTTATATCTAGGATCTTCTGCAAAATCCAAGCACTTCCAGACGTATATTAGAACGTATAATAATATGTTTGCTTTTAGCTCGCTTGGTGTCAGTTACGATAAAGATCTAGCCAAAAGAAACCGTGGTATATACACATTCAGAGTTCAAGGTCAAATGTATCACTTTATAGATGATTTATATCCTGCACAGAGAAGGCCAAAAAATTTGCAGTTGTATTTTTATGATAATGACAATGAGATTGCAAATAGAATGGGTTGCTCTGATAAAATAGATGAATTGATAGTGAGGGAATTGATAGACACACTGAAAGATAATCCATATTCTATATTTTTACGAGCTTTATCTGAGATTTCGAACTTACAGAACTATCACATCGCACTTAAATGTAACTCTGGTTTGGATCAACGAATATTTAACTTGCCCAGTACTACTGAGGTTGCAACAATATGGTTTCATGAGAATGATGTTGGTGCTATTCATGTACCGCACATTCAAATTTATACTCATAGCAATAGAACGCAAAGAGTGAACTACTATTTTAGCTGTTATGATCCTTTATAGTATCCTTTACTATTTCCATATGGCCAAAGTGGGTGGCATTGTGGCATTAGAAAGTTTCATGGGGAAGAAAATATGCCTAAAAATTATGCTTTGTCTGATTTGGAACAACTACCAAATATAAAAACTTTCACCTCTGTTGACGGATATCTTGATATGGAAGATCAAGTTATGCAAAAAGGGAAACGAAAGAGAGATACAGTTTCAGTTCGTGAATACTACAGTTACAAGCTCTAGATGAGAAACGATGATGAAGATGAACTTCTACATACAGGTAGATTACTTCAACAGTATTCGGTTGATGAATATATAAAATTGGAGACTCAAAGATTGGATTTTGTTTTCTTCAATCAAGATTTGTTCAGAATGGATATGTTAAATGGACTTCTTGATATTTTAAGACTTGGTGAACGAGATGCTTCTAATGTTGGAAAACAAACATTTCTGCCAAATTCATTTATAGGAGGGCCTAGAGATATGCGTCAACGTTATATGGACGCTATTGCATTAGTGCAGTATTTTGGAAAGCCTGATTTATTTGTAACGATGACATGTAACCCAACTTGGCCAGAAATTGAGGAACATTTAGCACTTAGCGATGAGGCACAAAATAGACCTGATTTGATTAGTCGCGTATTTAGGGCCAAGATAGAAGAGCTGAAGACGGATATTCTAAAACGAAATATCTTTGGAAAAGTTGTTGCTTTTATGTGCACCGTTGAGTTTCAAAAACGAGGTTTACCTCATGCTCATTTTCTTATTATATTACAGAATGACTATAAATTGTTGACAACTGAAGCATACGATGAAATAATTAGAGCAGAATTACCAGATGCTAATGCAGACTCAGATTTGCGTAAGCTTGTTCTTAAGCATATGATGCACGGTCCCTGTGGTAGTTTAGACCCAACAAATTTCTGTATGAGGAAAAAAATAGGTTCTTGCAAGTTCAAATATCCAAAAATGTTTGCTGATCAAACATCAAAAGGAAATGATTCTTATCCAATTTATAGAAGACGAAACACAGGTGAAGTTGTGAAAGTAAGAGGTCATGACTTAGATAACTCTTGGGTCGTCTCATACAACCCATATTTATTCGGTAAATTCAATTGTCACATAAATGTTGAAGTTTGCTCTGATATCAAAGTTGTGAAGTACCTTTATAAGTACATCTGTAAAGGACATGACAAAATTGCATTTTCTGTACAGAATAATGATGCGAATATAGAAATAGATGAGGTAAATGAATATCGGTCTGCTAGATGGGTATCACCTCCGGAAGCTGTATGGCGTCTCTTTCGTTTTCCTATTAACGAAATGTCTCCGAATGTTTATCGTCTTCAGCTGCATCTTGATGGACAACTTGTTTCTTTCAAGAAAAAATATGGATATAAATACGATTGTAAACAATCCCATGATTAAAAAAACTATGTTGATCGAGTTCTTCTATATGAACAAAACGAATGAGAATGCCATGAAGCTGAACTTATTGTACAGAGAATTTCCTAAATACTTTGTGTGGTCCTCCAGCGACAAAATTTGGGCACTTCGACAGCGTCGTTGTACTGTTGGTCGCGTTGTAACATGTCATCCAACAGAAGGAAAACGATATTATCTTAGATTATTATTGATGCATGTGCGTGGGCCGACATCGTACGAGAATCTTCATATGGTAAATGGAGAACCTTGTAGTTCATTTAGAGAATCTGTGGAAAAAAGAGGATTATTACAGTGTGATAACAGTTTAACGGAATGCATGTCTGAAGCAACAAGTTATCAAATGCCATATAGTTTAAGGCGTTTGTTTGCTACATTATTGGTACACTGCAACCCTACCAATCCAAGAGAACTATGGGAGCAGTTTGAAGAGTCTATGTCTGAAGATTATAAAGTGTTATAGACTATTGAAACTAAAGAAATCCGATATCAAGTTCTGAACCATATCAATGATATTTTGCATTCTATGGGTCACAATGTAAATGAATATCAACTCATTCCACAAACTATTAGGACTTCCGCAGCAGCGAAAGAAGCAAAAGAGATTCACTTTGAAAGAACTATTACTGTAAGTGAAGACGAGGTACAATTGCATGAGAGACTAAATAAAAATCAACTGACAGCATATGATGTAATTATCAATAGAGTATTTTCTAACAAAGCAGGCGCATTTTTCATTGACGGTCCAGGAGGAACTGGGAAAATTTTCTTATACCGTGCTTTACTAGCAACTGTATGGTCTATGGGATATATCGCTTTGGCAACTGCGACTTCTGGTGTTGCTACTTCTATTCTCCCTGGTGGGCGTACTGCACATTCACGCTTTAAAATTCCTATTGATATTAACGAGAATGTCAGCTGCAATATTAGTAAACAAAGCGCACTCGCGAGTTTAATTCGCGATGCAAAAGTGATTGTATGGGATGAGGCATCTATGGCAAATAAAAGAATGCTAGAAGTTTTTGATTTGCTACTAAAAGATCCTATGGATACACATTTTATTCGGTGGGAAAGTAGTTGTTTTTGGGGGTGATTTTAGACAAATTCTTCCCGTTGTGAGAAATGGAAAAAAGGAAGATTTTATTAATCAAAGTTTGTTATATTGCAGCATTTGGGCCAAGCTAGAAAAAATACAATTATGTGAGAATATGAGAGCAAAAACAGATCCGGCATTTTGTGATTATTTTCTAAGAATTGGGAATGGACAAGAACGTCTTAACGCAACAAACAACATTGAAGTACCAAATTCTTTAATTGTGCCTTTCACAAGTGAAAGAGAATCTTTAGATAAACTATTCACAATAACATATCCATATTTGAATTCATCTGGTTATGACGCTTCTTGTACAGACTCCCGTGTAATTTGACAACAAAAAATAATTTTGTCGATGAAATCAACGATATGCTTATTACTCAATTTTCAGGAAAAGCAAGAACATTTGTTGGTATTGATGAGACCATTGAATCTGACAATCAATCACAATTTGAAGATCTATTGCATACTTTAAACCCTACAAGTTTGCCTCCGTATATATTATCTTTGAAAAAGAATTGTCCAATTATGTTATTACGAAACTTAAATCCATATGAAGGTTTATGTAATGGCACGCGATTAAACTGTTGTGAATTTAAAACGCATGTTCTAAGTGCTAAGATTGCAGCAGGTGATTTCAAGAATACGCATGTATTTATTCCAAGAATACCATTATTATCATCAAATAATGAAAAATTACCTGTTCAATTCAAGAGAACACAATTTCCAGTAAGATTGTGCTTTGCTATGACTATAAATAAAGCGCAGGGTCAAACATTGTATTTTGTGGGAATTTATTTGTGTGAACCTGTATTTTCCCACGGCCAACTTTATGTTGCCTTATCTAGAGCAAAGAGTTCGAACTGTGTGAAATTGTTGATTCGACCTCCCACCCCGACTAGCGATGATGATCATTCTACCTGTAACATAGTTTACGAAGGCAATCATGTGATGTTTCTTACTACAAGATGATTCTCTAAGTCTTTTGTTCTGGACTGGATAATTCCTCAGTGGATTATACTTCGTTTACATCTCTAAATGTTAACCAACAAGTATTTTCATCTTCCATTTGTTTTCATCTTGATCTCTATCTAATAGAATATGATTGCTTTTTTGGTGAAGAGTTATTGAATTATTCATTTATGTAATTTTTTATTTCTCTATCTGCTTCGCTAATTCTCTCCTTTTTCTTCTAGGATTGTTGTTGCCTGAGATCCCCATTTAGGTTTGTTTTCCATGCTTCCTAGCTTTTTTGACTTTTACGTTCTCCATTGGTACCGCTTCTAAGTAAGCTTTGCGGTTAATTACTACAAATTGAATTATCTATAAAAACTTTGAAGTTTCAAAGTTGCAATTACAAAATTGCATCATATATCTATAGAAGATTTTAATGGAAATACCAACATATCTAATATCTTACTTTCATGGTGTTTTACATCTACATTTGGAGTGGCTTCTGTTTTTCTTTTACTTTGTTCTTCCAGTTATATAACCTTATTCATTCTTTAGTGTTTACCTAAAATAAAACAGTGTTAAACAAGACTGATGAATGGTTGTACGATGAATTACTAACCTTGCTAGGACATTCTGCGGTCATTGAAAATTATAACTGGTGACAATTAATTAATCATTCTACGATTGTTCCTGGTGCAAGATGGAGGGCTAATATATTTTTATTGGAATGTTGCATATAGGTAAAGCATATTACATTACTGTAGCATGATGTTTGTAGGTGGTGTTCTAAAATTTTTTGCTTTCTCTTTAGAGAAATATAATATGTACATGATGATAAATCTAATATTTGGAAAAGCCAAAAAGAAAAAGAGAGCAAAACAAATGCATTCCGAAAGCAAACGCAAGCCTGATATGTCTACAAATCTGTATGTTTCATTTCTTTCGCTACTTGCTACTTCTCAATTTCGCCAACATCTGTTTTGACTCTTTAAGTCTCCTCTCTGGTGGATCTATGAAAAATTAGCACTAAACTTCTCCATGATTTTTCCTTGCAGTTGGTGTGCCAGTCAAGAAAAACTTTGCAGGTTTGCTTCTCCGACATTTCAACAAATTTTGCCGTTCTTTGATTAAAATATTTTAAGATTTATTATAACTGACTTGACACACTTTCTTATTATCCTAAAGTCTAATCATTGGAGCTTTTCTGTCACGTGGAAAAGGTATGAAATTGCATTTGCAGGTAGTATAAAATTAACCTATATTTTTTTAGCAAATGAGCTATTACATTGTTTGATAAATGCTATTGATGTTATCTTTGAATAGGTCATCAAGCAATATTGAGTTATCGATCAGTTTTTTTTGTTGCAAATGTGAGAAAATAAGAAGATGATATGTTACTATTAGAATGTGAAATGAATATGATAAGCCAACTTTTGAAAGAATTTTCATTTTACATGATTGAATGGATATTCATATTTTCCTCCTTTAATTTGTTGGACTTTGTGTTTTTTATTTTGCCTGGTATAACGATTAAGCTCTATTCTCCTACTGTTTGCTAACTCAACTGCTTTTAGAATTTTGGACAGAAATTACATAAAATTTTGGTACTTTTACTTCATTTATTTTATTTGTGTAAAAGAAAAGGCCAAAGCTAAAAAATGTGTTGTTGGCTACTCAAAAATACCACATTCTGTTAAGTCGAAAGATTTCAGCTGTAGTTGTTGGGGCAAAATGTAAACCTATATTCCACCCGAAAAGGAAAGAACTTTACATCAATTAATTTTGCCTATCCAGAAGTTTGTGACTACTTGCATGTGCATATTAGATGAGGGAATACAGACATGAATATGGTAGGTATTTGATAAAACAAAAACACCCGAACAAACAAGGTAACATTAATGATATAGTAAAAAATAGATTTATATATATTATTCTCCCTATAGAGTACTACATTTACTATTTTACAAAGGAAAATAAGTAGTATATTCATCTTTAAAAAAAAATTTAACCCCAAAAATAATATTTTTTTGTTAAATTAATCATTTTTATGTAGATGAGCAAATAAAGTTGTATTATTAATATGATCATTAAGGGAATAAGTAAGTTGATGGCTCTTTTATAATGAAATATTGCAAAAAATTTCTTTTAATGTTTCTTGTTCACTCTATAGATGTTTGGAGTACCCAGGTTTCGAAGTTTAATCACCACTAAATGTTCTTACAGTTTAATTTAACTGAGAATATACTACTGACAAATATACTTCTGACTCCAATATTATTACTGTAGTGTAGAAACACTTAGTGATGACATAACAGTTGTACGAAGGGATCACGAACACAGATTTCAAACCAAGAAAGGAGAATAAGAAATGATACAGCTCGAGAAGAAACCAAGAGAAAACAAATAACTCTTCAAGAAGACACAGCCTGACAAGAAACGATCAGAGCAAAGACAAGGTAAGTGTTTTTCCGCTATCTAGAGAGATTTACAATGTGATATGCTCATTGAAAATTGGCACATATGCTTACACTTTTTATTTACTTTATTTCACTAGCTTTTTCTTCTACTGATGTGTAAAGGATATGCCTCCATCTCTGATAGAATCCAACACTAAAATATAGTTGTTTCATTACAAGGTCCACAATTGAATACAAGTAACTGTCATCTAATTCCATTATGTGCTAAATACATGCATGATAACGTACTTGAAATGTCATTATTCAAAATTTGTTTATTTAATCCGGCCAAGTGATTCCATCTTTACTACTCAGAGATCTATTTTGTTTTAAGTTATTACCATATAGGCCTAATAAGTATATCTTTTTCCTTTGCGAACAGGTCAAGTCTATCACAAGTTTATCTTCCCAAAACTATTTGACAAACTTTTTGCACACATGAAATATTGAAGAGGGGTTCCTTTGCGAGCAGGTCAAGTCTATCACGAGTTTATCTTTGCCCAGGTTTGTCATTTATGGCAAAAGGACTTTCTAACTGTATGAGAAAAGATTGCTTAACAGATGCAACCCTTGCATCAGGCACTGGCGACTATCCTCTGACAACTATCCTGAAGAAAACATTCTGAATACATTAGAACTAAGTGACCGGGTTGGTCCCAATACCGGGTATATAAGCAGTGACTTCAAATCCAGAGGTATGCAGGGTTGTTCATATTTCTCCATTTGCTAATAGATTATCAATGCATCTTCCATATCATCTTCAGTTCCTGAGATGCTTTTCCAATTATGAAGCTTTGAGGTTCTCCTTGGCCATATCGACACTTGCAAAGAAGTTAGTCAAGCGCATGATTGAGAGGAGCTCTAACTCTGTTGGAATTTCTATCCACCTTCACTTTGAGGAGGTACAATCTCTCTTCTTAGTTCTGCTTGCAAAGGATTTTCTGGAAGTCCATTGACACTGTTGATCTACAATCTAATGATGCAAACTCCAACTTACATGTGAAGGACATGATAGCCTTTTCATGTTGTATTTATGATGGAGGAGTGGTTGAAAAGTCACAAATGGATGTGGTACGTGAGAAGGAATGGAGGAAGAAGTTCAAACAAAAATATCGTGTTATTGCACCTGCTGTCAACCGCATAAATGGAAAATGTCCTATGACCCCTGTAGAGGTTAGAATTTATTTTTATCTGTTTCCCTTCAAATAAAATTGGGCTTCCTATCAGGAGAAAGAAAATGGATGTATCAGTATTACACTACCTAAGTGACATCCTGATCTAACTGTTTTATTTCTCCTCAGGGGAAAAGCTAAATTTTATAGGCTGAATGCAGCTCTTACGTCTTTAGTGGTAAAAGCGAAAATATTACACCAACTTGCTGTATTTCAGCTTTGAACACCAGCCAATTCTCAATTAGAAATACATTGTATAATTGACAAGCTTCCAGAGTAGATCTGGAAGAAATTATTTGTTATACTTGGAGCGTCTACTACAAATTGCTACAAGTCAAAATTGCATTTTAGAAACAGCGAAATGTTAGAGGCTGACATTTCATCTTAGTGCACTCTTTTGCTGAATGTATCTTTTAGGAGGCCTAGGTCTCTATGAGGTTTGATGGGACACATGCCAATGTTGACCTTCCGAGGAGTCAACAAATTGTGAATCATATTTAGTTTCTCTGCCTCAAACACTATGTGTTTCTTCGCAATGATCTTTCTTGATGAATAAAGGCTGGGGTTAGGATAGATACAGGGAGTAAATGTATCTTTCTCTCCTTTTTTTTGGTATTTTTCTAACTACTCTGGTAATCGAAAGAGGTGAATATATTATTGGTATAACTTGTAGAAGCTTTATGTCTAGGAGAACAGCTTGTAGAAGTTTAGGCTGTCAAAACCTATTCGAAGTGGAAATGGATGGTCTATATTATATATGATTAACTCCCTTTTTTTGGTTTATTGGCCTCAAAAAATGACTTCTATTTCCTGCTATTATTGCAGTCATAATCTACCATATGGTAGTCGTATATATAAATGAGGATGTGAGTTCAAAAGGGCATTAATATATGATTTTTTTGTTTCTAAGATAATCTTACAGATGAATGCATCTCACAAGTTTATTCACAGCTCTCTTAATTGTTAATAATTATTGCACATAGTTTTTGTGGGTGTTAGATATCCCTGAGTTTATTTGAGCAGATTGTACACTCTTATGTGAATCATTAACACGCTTAATTCATCTTCATAGCAGAGTAGAAGACGCTCAGCTGACTGACAAATTACTAGAGGCCATTTTAGTGCGTGCAACAGTACCAACATGAAAAGCTGGATGGATAGGTGAAGACAGTGCGCATGTTGCTAAATACTGTTAGAATCACATTTATGTATGTAGTTATGACAGTTAAATACAATCTCTCTTTAGCCTATAGTACTTACAAAACCTTTAGGTATACAAAAACCTTTTCCATAACATGTTTCTTTTCGATGGTCCATGATAGATTTAAGTACCTATATAGCTTTATTAACAAAAATACTAAATAGTCGTTCGGCCCGGGCATAGCCCGGGCATACCCTCACTAGTACTATTATAGAAACAGCTAGCGAGAGGAGCTTGGGGTCGTAGGGGTAGTTTGGGAATTTCAAATATTTTAGCTTTCTACACACGTGTTACCTTCGATTTCGGTTCATACTGCTGTTTCTTCGGATTTTCATACCTTTCTCAGTTCCTCTTCAAGTTATCTTTGTCTCTTCTGGTCTTTCCTCTTGCGGCTCTGAAACTTTTATCAGGTTAGTTATGTTTTGCTGGATTTTCTTTTCCTTCACTTCAACTTCTGTGTATTTCCTCGAGAATAAGGGCAAAATTTTACAATGAATCAAATTTACTACTTGATTTTTATTACTGTCTTCAGATTTAATTTCTTGGTTCGCTTGGGTGAAGAATAATCTGGTAATTTTGATTTTGGGTAATTTTGATGGCATTCTATTTTCATCTCTCTGTAATTTGTTTTGCTTCTTCAAGTTTGCCCACAAGTTTAATTGGTACAAATCCTTGATAAGTCTCACTTTCCTTAAATCATCCAAAGTTTTGCCCTCTCTTGAATCTTCTTATTTTTTCTTCAACTTGTTCCTGAAAAAAATTTAAAGAAAGGAATTTCAGAAGACATGATGTTATAGTTGTGACAATTTAAAAGTATACAATAAAGGAAACACAATAAAGGAAAACGGAGCAAAAGTGCAATGCACCTGTTGAGACCTTTGTTACTATAATTGTGAGAATGAAGGAAAAGAGTAAACAAGAAGCCGGTATATGGATGGTCTGAAGTGGTCGATGTAGTGAACTGCGACCCCTTTATGTTCATACAGAACATCGTATCTACTTCTCAACTTTCTTTTCCCCTAAATATTAGTACATACTTTCAATTACAAATATTGTTAGTATCTTAAGTCAAACCGCATTGATAAAATCATATGAAAATGAACAAGTAAACTTAAGAATTAATTGGTTTCTGCTGCTTTGCTTTTACTTTTCACTTGACTTTGTTTCTCCTCTCAATTATATTCGTTATTTGTCTTGTTATCCTCTTTGTTCTCAGAATATGCTTGTAGACTAATGAATTAACAAAGAGAGTTGTATATTAAATCAGTTTGCTCTCTTTTGTATTTCTATCCTTTAAGTCTATGTTCTTTTTGTGTATTTAAGCGTTACTTTTTTGTTCTTGAGATTGTCTCATCAGTTTTTTTCTTCTTCTATGTACCTACTACACATTAATTGGTTGTTACATCTTGCTATCCAAACAATATTTCAGTTTCTTTTGTTCTGGATAGTTCTCATCCGTGAAGCAATCAAATGGATACTTTACACTGACATCTTTTCTTGGATAATAAGTAACAACGTCTACTTCCCAAGTAATAATAATGGTTTCCACTAACTAAGCCTATTCTTGGTCTTACTTATGTCAGAACATGTACTTGGTGGAAGTATATCACTCATTTTAACACAGCTGTTAGGTGCTCATTCATGAACTAATCTTCTCTTTTGTTGACAAAAGCAAGCAATTTAAAATCTACTTCAAACTGTAGCTCAGTTTTAGTTAAGATTTCTTCTTTTATGTGTCTCAGACTTTGGAACAGCTAAGCTAGCTTCTCATGGGTACAGGAGAACAGCTTGCAGAAGTTTAGGCTGGCAAAACCTGTTCTTTCCATTGGTGGAATCCTACAAGTGGAGCTCTTACGCAGAGTTCAAAGACAAGAAATGGATGGTCTATATTATATATGGCTAACTCCCTCTTTTGGTTTATTGGCCTCGAAAAATGACTTATATTTCCTGCTATTAATGCAGTCATAGTCTACCATATGGTAGTCGTATATATAAATGAGGATGTGAGTTCAAAAGAGCATTAATATATTATTTTTGTGTTTCTAAGATAATCTTACAGATACATCTCACAAGTTTATCCACGGCTCTCTAAGTTGCATGTAGTTTTTGTGGGTGTTGGATATCATTGAGTTTATTTGAGCAGATTATACACTCTTATGTGAATCATTAACACGCTTAATTCATCTTCATAGCAGAGTAGAAGACGCTCAGCTGACTGACAAACTACTAGAGGCCACTTCAGTGCCTGCAACAGTTGGATAATACGAAACAAAAGTAAATTAAAATTTAAGTATTTTAAGTGGGTTATGGTAATCTCATCAGGGGGTAGCAATATGCTCGATCTCCTAACCATGCTTTTTCTCTCTTTCTCCTTCTGCAGAGAAATCATTTTTGGTGCACTGCAAGAAGCGTATGCTCATGAAGTTGGAGGAGAAATTCAAGAAGGAAAAAAGAGTGCTGGATGGATAGGTGAAGACAATGAGCATGTTGCTAAATACTGTTAAAATCACATTTTTGTATGTAGTTATAACTGTTAAATACAATCTCCCTTTAGCCTGTAGTACTTTGCTTTATAAAGCATCCTAACAAAACCTTCAAGTATACAAAAACATATTCCATAACATGTTTTTTTATGCCCCAGCATAGATTTAAGTACCTATATAGCTCTAAATAGTCGTTGGGCCCGGGCATAGCCCGGCGTACCCTCACTAGTAGATATCGGTAGTAATAAGTGAGTACAGTTTTTGGACGGAATTTCGACGGAGAGAGAGAGATCAGCACGTGATAGGTTGCAATTGCATAGACCGTAGCCAGTAGGTTCTAGTAGATGATATGGATAGATTCCTAGCACTAATGTTAATATATTTGGGATATTTGTATCTTTTTTTATACTTTGTTATCAGTATTATCGAGATTAGAAAAATAACTCTAATCTCTCTACCCTAGGGTAGGGGTAAGGTCTGCGTATATACTATCCTCCCCAGACCCCACTAAGTGGGATTATATTGGGTTGTTGTTGTTGCTGTTGTAAAAATAACTCTAATATAAAATTTGGATTTTTTGTGTGCAAATTTTCCAAGAAAACTCATAGCCGCTATCTTTCTGGCAAGCATTGGGTAACCTGCTCACTGTGCAATAGCTCGCAAATCACACATGAGATATAAACTGCGCTAGCAAACCCGGTGCGACCAACTCTAACTGAGAAGACTGCTGGTGAGGGGAAAATAATTCTGATATAAGATTTGGTATTATTTATATATGTTTGGTTGATATTTTGTAGGTACGAGGAATATAGCTTATTGACTAGAACCGTTAATTTGGCATTGGTTTGCGCGGCCGACCTAGTCTAGTCCTTCATGATAAGGTTGGACTAAGAATTTTTGAGCCTATTTAGATTGAGACATTTTAGTTAGGTTCAAGTAAGTTCGTTGGCCCTTGAGGCTTGATTTGAATGAAAGGATGTAAGGAACTAAAAGTAACTAGAACAGGAGCTCAAACTCTACTTACAACACATTGAGGTCCATTTGAGGAGCTTGTTCTAACTTTTAATGGATAGAATATGGGGCATTTGCATCTATACCCGCTTTTTGGGTCACGTTTTAACTTGTGCCCGCTTTGCAAAAAAAATTACAAGCGTACCCACTTTTTCGCGTAACTTCAGCATACGGGGCTAAAGTAGCAAAGGCAATCACGCAAAACTTCAGCATTCTAGTAGACGGGCCTAAAGTAAACCAAGTGTACTGAAGTTTTTGTTTGTAATTGCTGAACTTAAGCATAGTAGCTGAAGTTTTGTTCTCTATTTGTTGAAGTTTTTGTTTGTAATAGCTGAACTTAAGCATAGTAGTTGAAGTTTTGTTCTCTATTTGCTGAAATTTTTATTTGTAACTGCTGAACTTAAGCATAGTAGCTGAAGTTTTATTCTCTATTTGCTGAAGTTTTTGTTTGTAATTGCACTAAATAAGATAAAGTTTTTTGTTCTGGATTCATTAGTTTTGTCATTAAGCTTTTTCAAAAACTTCAGCACTAAATAAGCTGAAGCTTTTTTGTCCTGGATTCACTAGTTTTGTCATAAAGCTTTTTCAAAAACTTCAGCACTAAATAAGCTGAAGCTTTTTTGTCCTGGATTCACTAGTTTTGTCATAAAGCTTTTTCAAAAACTTCAGCACTAAATAAGCTGAAGCTTTTTTGTCCTGGGAAGATGCTGAAGTTATTTAGTTCATTTGTAAAAATTTCAGTACTATATAAGCTGAAATTTTTGAAAAAACTTTCTAACATACTAGATAAATAATCAGATTGTCAACAGTATCTAAATCATAAATTTTGAAAACAATGAACGTGAAAAGAACAGAATTATCATGAAAAGAATCACTAAGTGTGACCTTAAACTTCACGTACGTGGAAATATTCACAAATTATTGTCTACTAACTTACGTAATTATTTATAATTTATTTTTAAATAATCTGATAAACATACTTATGGCAATAATCCCGTGAACTGATGTTTCATAGCAGCAGAAGAAAGAAGAAGAAAGAATAAGAAGAAGAAGAAGAAAGAAGAAGAAGAAGAAGAAAAAGAAGAAGCAACAGAAGAAGAAGAAGAAGAAGAAGAAGAAGAAGAAGAAGAAGGAAGAAGAAGAAAATGAATAAGGAGAAGGAGGAGCAAAAAAGGGGTTGAAGTTGTTTAAAAAGTGAGTATAAGTTAAAACTTTTTAAAAAAATGGGTATAGGTTAAATGGGGGCGACCAAATAGGGCGCCCCTCTACTTCTTTGAGATTAGACGGGATACTTACTGGGTACATATTGTTTATGTACTCATACTACACTTCTGTACTTAATTGTACATGATCTGAGGCAGGTACATCTGGTTACCAGTCCGGTGCGCGCCCCTAAGTTAGTGACTGAGACTTCCACAGTGAGCTGATTTCCTTCCTATGCCGTTCAGCAGCCGAATGGAGTCTTTCTTTACTTTTGTTGTTTTTTCTATCCCATACAGTAGGATAGAGATATCCTTTTGTATATTCTACTAGATGCCCATACTTGTGACACCAGGTCTTGGCACACACATTGGTAGACTTATATTTTTGGGTTGTATAACTATGTCATTTACATTATTGATTGCTTCTGGCTTAAAATCCAAATTGGAGTATTTATTTCACTTATTTTTGATAAAAGTGACATAAGAATTTAGTAATGTTTCCGCGTTGGCTTGCCTGGCTATGGTGTTGGGCGCCTTCATGACCTATTATGCAAATGGGTCGTGACACACTTGTCTCATAAAGTTCTCCCCCTAAACACGACTCTCAAACACTATAGCTACATTGTGGATGCTGCTGAATTAGAAGGAAGGATCCTCAATTTATAGAAGTCCAAACATTTTCCTACAAGAAAAAGGACTAGCCAAGTATATGAGAATTATAATTTCCTTCTATAAAAAGGAAAATCCAATTAAGGTAATTATATTTCCCTTTCCTTCAACAAATAGGAAAACCAAATATGGTATGGAAATTATGGCAAACACCTAACAATTCTCCCCTTGGCCAGAATTTTCTGATAAAATAAACTTGATCCACCTTCTTCACATGGCCTTCAACAGGTCGCATCTCTAAATCTCCACCACAAAGTTTGTCTCAAACGACCACCCTTGACAAAGATAAAAAGCAGCCTTTAGTGCCTTAGCTCTTTTTATCCTTGTTTCCAGAAATCCAAACAAGCCAACCTTCAAATTATGGACAAACAGGTTCATTTCTTTCTGCTTGTCTGGCTTGTTTAGACCTCTGGCATTCCAAAAGCCTATGCTATCCATTTGGGTTGGGGTTTCCCCCACCCTTCCCTAGTTTAGGACCCCTATCAGCTTTACCTTCCCCAGGGCAGGGAGGCTTAGCTATCCCAGTGTTGTTATTACTTTGATCCCCTAGTGCAGCAAATGAGTTTCTAGTGTCACTTTGTGGTTCCCTTATTACTATTCCTCTTCTTTCGAACCCCCTCCTGTAGTAGTATTTGTCTTGCCTTAGTTTTACTACCTGCTTCCCTGCTCTTTGTTGGAATTTTTCCTCTATGATTTCTTTCCCTTCTGCCTGCTTGTTGTTTACTGTTTGTTCTCCATTTGTTTTCTTGGATTCACCATCCTTTACTTCTTCTCCTTGTTCCTCTGCCGTGCTGTTTTGCTCCTCTTTTATCTGCTTCCTGCATTCCTTCAATTCATGTCCATAGTTTTTGCATTTTGTACACAGTACTGGTTTCCACTCAAATTCAATTTCTTGTTCTACAATCTGTCCATGTTCATTTTCAAACATCACTGTATCAAGGAATTCCATATTGATTGGCACTTCCACTAATACTCTAGCATAGGTCATTCTTTCCTTCATGGTAGTTGCCTTGTCTGATTTCAGCGGGTTTCCAACCATTCCAGCTATTTTGGCTAGAGCTTGTTTTCCCCAGTACATCACATTTAGCCCAGGAGTCTGATCCACACTGGTATGTTGTCCATGATTTTCTTTTTCAGTTCAATATCCTGCTGCCATGGCTTAACAATGACTGGCTTTCTATCGAACATCTAGACTCCTTCCTCAACCACTTTCATTCTACTCTCAACTGTGTGGAATCTGACTAGGAACACACCTCGTTGAACTTGTGCTACTAGGTCAAGTCCCAATTTCCCCCCAAATTCTGTTAAAATAACCTTCCATTACACTTTGCGGTGGGTTTGAACCCAACACATAACATACCACTCCAGTTTTCCAGAATTCAACTTCTTCATGAATGTCTTCTGTTGTAATTTTAACATTACTGTGTTTTGGTGATTCTCTCTTTAGATCTTCTCCTTCTTCCAATGGAACAGTAGCTACAATTCTGCTCCATGTTTTCTTCTCTTGTGTTTGTGTCTCTTTTACTCTTCTTTCTTCCTCCCCCTTATCCGCCCAGGATTGGCTGTGTGACGACCCAAAGGGGTCATCACCGTAATTCTTCCTTGTTCCTTGCTTCCGAAGCCTTGAAAACCTCTTATTTTGTTGCCTCGATTTGCATGCGTAGTCCGGGCGCGAAGCCGAAAAGTTTTTATGTGGAAATATATGAATTTTGTGTTAAAAACTATGAATTTTGATAATAATATTGATATAGCTGACTTTTGTCAATATTTTGGGTAAACGGACCCGGACCCATGATATGACGGTCCCGGAGGATCCGTAGGAAAATATGGGACTCGGGCGTATTCCCGGAATCGAAATCCGAGGTCCCAGGCCCGAGAAAAAAATTTTCCGTGAAATTATTTTCTGAAAATGTTTAAGGGAAATGAAAATGAAATTTGATCAAAAAGTAATGGTATCAGGCTCGTATTTTGGTTCTGACGCCCGGTACAGGTCATATATGGTTTAAGCGCTTTCTGTAAAATTTGGTCGAAATCGTATGTCATTGGACGTGTTTCGGACTAAAAATGGAAAATTTGGAAGTTATGAACCTTGAAATGAAAATTATGAGTTTTGAGGGTTGATTCTTTGATTTTGATGTTATTTTAGCGATTTGATCGCTCGAGCAAGTTCGTAGGATGATATTGAGATAGTATGTGTGTTTGGTTGGGAGCCCCGAGGGCTCGGGAGTGATTTCGGGGGTGGTTCGAAGTGTTTTT